AGTGAAATCAATCCGTCGACAAACGTTCTGCCGAAAACGGTTACAACTATCACTCCTCTTTCTGTCCTGGCCTATCCATCTACTCTTTACCCACTTTCGGTAGTACGTTTGTCGAGGGATTGACTTTACTTGTCACTTTGACGAGTTCCTAGATTGGTGTGGAGAATGGCAAAACTCACTGATGATGCCGATTATGATGCTGACGAAACGTTTAAGAATGTACTAAGTCCACTGTCTGATGCTGGGAATCATGACAGCTATTATGGCAGACGACTTCGGACTAGGTGCGTTCTACTAAGTCACCCTGACAACAAAACCAAGTTGAGATAACGAGGTCAACCCACTTCTAAAGGAGACTGCGACCCTACCAGAGGCCACAACATCTTGGTCTTCATATATTCAAGGAAGTGTTTTTGTTTTACGCCTGCATCAGTTTTAATGTTATTGGACCAGAGTGGTTTGATAAAAGACTATCTAATTTAAGAACAATTATGAAATCATTTGTTGGCAGTGATTTGAAGACAATATTAGAATTTAATCAAAGGTGTGAAGACCAAGATAATGTAGCCTTTAGCATGGTTGCGGTCTCTTTAGTTTTAGCAACTTGTTTCTATTGTTCGGAGCACCTAGATGAGCACAACTTATCCATAGTCCATACGTTCTAGCGTCGGACTGCGGATTTGGTACATCCCCAGACATTTCGATTGTCAATGAGCCTTGCTAGTCTTAGCAACACGCTACAACTAGTCAAAGAGACAAGTGAAGTCGATCCTTTAATCAACTGTCTACCGAACAGTTGTGGTATTTCTTCTCAATTGTTCAGTATAAAGTCGGTCGGAAGATTGACTTAATTTGTCTCTTTGACTAGTTGTAGTTTCTTGCCAAGACTGACAAGATCTGCTGACGGGACCAACTACGATGCCAGCAAAAGGCCTGGGAATGCACAAAGCTCACAGTCTGACGCTGGAAAGTATCATGGATACTATGACCTCTGGATAAAGGAGACCTTTTGGTCTCATTCACAATTTTACCAAACTGCAAAATCGAGGTAAAACTAATTCATTATTTAGAATTGTTTTACCTGTGTATATGTGAATAAAAGAAGAGTTTCGAGAAATTATTGAGCTTATTCCATTTCGAATGAAGGAATGAAATGAAGCAATTTGAAGGTCGATCTTTCCAGCAGACTTTTACTAAGTTCTTCTGCCCATACGTCTGCTGACTTTATTGAAACATACCTGAAGAGATGTCATTGAGGCAGTCTCCTTATCGGTTGAAAATGTGATTAGCTTTTGTTTAGACTATGACGGACATCATTCGAATAGTATATCAACCTTACAATCATATTTAAGCTAGTGATTGAAGAAAACTTATTGGCTTATCCTTAAATACTAGAAATAAACTCCAACCCGACTTTGATAAGGTACAAAGTTATTAGATTAAATATATGAAGACCAAGATGTTGTGGCCTCTGGTGTGGTCGCAGTCTCCTTTCGATGGATA